AGAAAGCGTTTTTAGTAGGCCTAGGTAATTATGCAAAACCCAGGCCTAACTAAAAAATTAAAATTGTCATAGTATGTAACTCAAGTTAAAATAACACTTTTCATTACTCGTGCAACTTAATCAAATTCATTTTAAACGACCCATTGGTATTAACACGGTAACATCAATGTATATTTAAAAAATTAGACAGCGACGTTCTCTCAGAAGTTGTTCTGTAGACGTTTATCTGTTGATGACCTTTTGACCTCCTGAATTCTGCAATGAGATTTCGGGTCGATTCAGCCGAGACGGCCCGAGTGGAGTTTCATGTAAATGTTTCGTACGGAAAAAAAAATCGCCATCCGTTGGGTCCGCGTCTTCGCGTGCGTCCTTCGTCGCGTTGTCGTCGCGTCGCCGTCGCACGCAGTGAGTTACATTCAAGCAACCCTTCTATACACTTTAGAGCAAGGTCTATTATTTAAACTGCGGGATTAAACTACTGGCATTCTGAAAATGAACAAACTATAATTTTTTTCTATCAAATTCGCCAATTTTAACAAGTTACTATACACTTAACCTTTACCTTTATGTACTACCTAGCGTATAAGTACTGAACTAGTGGAGTCTTAAAGGTGTATTGTCCCTTGCTAATGTCAAAAAATCATTAAAAAAAATAATTTTGAAAAAAAAAAAACTTGCTCATATTGCAATAACATACAACTTATTAACTTGGGCATAAAATTATTGAATTTAAAGAATGTGTACCGTGATTTTTAAACCAAAAAATTATAATAAAAAATAATAAAACACTTCCAGTGACTGGAAGTGTTTCTATCATTTTTCGCTGTAAACTGATGGGTAGACAATTTTTAAATACATTAATTTTTATGTTCAAGTTGATAACTTTTATGTTACTTAAAAATGGGCAAGTTAATTTCAAAAAAAATATTTTTATGATTTTTTATTTTGGTATTTAGCATTGGACAATACATTGTTAATATTGGATTTGGGCAGTAGTTTATTGTCACAATGATTACCAGAGGAGTATACAGAAAGTCGGTAAGGACCGCCACATATTTCTCCTGAGTTTCCCTCACATGCCATATTACATGAAGACTCTGTGCGTATACCATGGACGTCATAAGTGTCATCATCACAATAACATTCTCTGCTAAACTCCAAGCCAGCGTACGGATAGCCTTGATAATAACAATGTTTTCTGCAGACGTTTATCTCCATATTATTGCTGGAGAAATATCCATATGGCATTGCTCTGTCTGACGTCACATCCTTAAAGCATCCTAGGTACAATCCTGTTATAACAAACAAACAAAAATTTACTGATAGGCCTATTACAAGTATACGGTCTACATTGCAGGTGAATGAAGTATCTCACACAAGCACTCACATAAGGGGTGGCGCCAGGATTTGCCCCAGGTTCCCGTCGTGGGGGTGGGGGATGGGGATGGCGGCTTGTCGCACAAAATTATTCGAAAGTAGTGACAATATAACAACAATAATGTAATATTTAGCTGAAGAGGGTATGAGAATGCGGATTAAAAGCTACTGGTGAGAAATAATCTTAATTTTCTAGCTTAACATAAATGAAATTCGATATAATAATGATAATGACGATGATGATAATGATAATATAAAAGTGATAATGATAAGTTTAATATATTAATTTAAGTGTACTGCACACCATACTTACTGATCATCGTATTTGTTGTTGCAGTGCTGTCGTCTCGATCAGTTGTAGTAGGAAGGGTTGTAATCACATCTGTAGTTGAAAAGCTTAGAATTTAATTTGCAATGAAAAAATGTTCTTGGAGGATTTGGTGTTATGTAATGTAGTTAGGATTATCTAGCACTCGAGGTGTGAACTAGCTATTACAGTAACTTGCTTCTCCCCTATGGGTCTATTTATGTATGAGCTACTAGGTGTACTAGATTCTTTAAAGTATCTGCTTCGGGACCAAAACAGTTTTTTCGTGAAGGGGTATAATTTTTAGGGGGACATTAATAATAAACGAGAAATTGTCTAGTTTTGGCACGTGGTCATACAACGGTGACACAGATACAAAATGTATCTGTGCCACCGACTAACCAGTTTTAATATAGGCCTAATACTCAATAATACACAACACGCCCGTGTTCAGACACAATGGGCAGTACAGTAGTTTAATCTCCCTGACTTAATATTGATTTTTGTTCTGTGATAATCACCTTTATTAACATTTTATCTTCTAGAAAGGTGCCATACCCAAGGACCAACTGCCAAAGACACATCTGGAAAGGTAGTCCAATCTGCCAATGAGTATTAGGCCTACTGAAAACCGGTTAAAGTTTTTGTAACAAAATTTAGATGGAGGCGTGCAGATGTGTGTTATGAACTTGTGTGCACACTGTTATATCATAGACTGTTCTATTTTCTCTATTGTTATATCATAGGTTGAGTACTACTCAAATGAAATATCTCACCTGCTTCACATACGAAACGCATACTATAACTACAACTCGTTGGATGCCAGAAGTTATTACCGGTACTTGAAATAATGGCACAGCTTGAATGAGGATTCTGATACACACCCCAATCTATGAAAATATCGTAATATAATTATTTATTTTGTAGTTCGGAATTGACCAGGAAAGTACCGTACGAATGCCAGCGCCTTTGTATATACTCCGGAATGTGAAAGGCGCCATATAAATTCGTTAAAAAAAAAAAAAATTAAAAACAAAGATAATAAAAAAAATGAACTAAAATAGAGAAATCATTCTGTGTATATATAATTGCTAATACTATTTCAACAATGCACAGGTAAAGTCCATAATGATGGTAAGATACAAAAACACTATCATCAGCAGAGTTCTCAATGGTACACTACAGTAATATAACAATGAACTACGGAATTCAACAAGTTTAATAGCTTCTTTCTACTATTAGCCTTCAGGTTAGGTTTAGTTACACATAAAGGCTAATCAAAAGGCTATTGTTCACGATCTGCTTCTCCAATCATTTGTATGCAAACTCGTCTTTAATTGTATCACTTGATCCACCTGATGAGAATCAGCTTTGTTGACTATACAAAGCAAATATGTATTGGAATAAATGTATTTTATTTTCAAAGAATCGTCCAACAGGAACACTTTTCTCCCACTTACAGGCGAAGAAGAGATTGAAATAACCGTCAGCTACATTGTATTACGCAATGATGGTGCACCTCGAGAAGGCGTTATGTACGGCTGGAATTAAATATAGTAACATATAATAATAATCAAAATTATTGATATATATATATATATATACTTATATATATATAGGCCTATATATGTATATATGCACTG